AACTTAATTAATATGATTCCTTCACTACATGATAGCTAATAATAGTAAGTTTCTTTTTAACATTCATTTTTCAAAATGGCGACTTATTAAGCTAGTTTAATTAACAAATTAATATTTGAAATCGATTTTTCTTTGAAAAGAAAGCAAGATAAATGTTTGGAAGCTTGACAAAAGTTGTAGAGCTTGCTTTTTTCTATCATATGATCTAAATAGATTTTATCAAAAATGAGTTATTTTAGTTAAATTAACTGAAAACCAAATTGAATGTAAAATGTATTTTTAAATCAAAACTATTAACCTTAATCGGTCAAGAACAATTACTTGATATCTAAAGAGTCTTTTACTATTTAATTTACATTCGAAAAAGGCTTAAAAGTAAGTTAAATTAACTATAAAAACAATGAAATTTAAGTTGAGCAACAAATTTTGCTCTTATTTGCTCACAAATTTATAATTTTAAAAACCGTTACAAAATTTTTGGTCAAATTTTTTACTATAATTTAATTTTCTCTGCTTGTCTTGAACAAAAAGTAATATTTCTTTTGCAATATGATAAACATTGTTGAATTCTATAGTTTGAAATGAAAAAATCAGTAGACGAATAACACAGCAATGACTTATGACTAGTTTTGTAAAACTCATCATAACTTGGTTAATTATAGTAAAATTGAAAATTTTCTCTTACAGACTTAAAGAAAATTACATATGTAACCTTTTTTGTAAAGAAAGATAGTTCCTAAACTATTTCCTTCATATCAAAATTTCAGCTTCAACATTTTAAAGCTGAATTAAGCTAACTTACAAATCCGCCATTTTGTATATTTTAGACAAAACTTTTAATGATCTGATTACTGAATTATCTGGTGAAAAAATCGTTATGATTAATGAAGTATTCGCAGAGATATTACATTTGCAACATGGTGTAAAATCGAATTTCCTCAAAATTGTTCGTGACGCTTAGCACTTTAAATTAATTTTTAATTATAATACAATGTCTAAGAGATAATTGTTATACACCAAAATATAGGTCTTGGCAAGGACTTTAAGAAAAACACAAGTCTTAAATACATATTTCGCATTATTGATTCAAAAATTGTAAATTATTGTTAAGCGTCACGAACAATTCATTTTTGATCTTGCCCTATAGTTTCACAAGATTGTTAAAATTCTCTGAACATTAGTGCGGTGATTTTCAATATGTTTTAGCATGTGGTAATAATTTTTGCTATAATAGCACTAGGCACTAGTTAGGCTAGAACGATATCACACATAAAAAATTCAGTGTGCACAACAAATATAAAAAAAAATTATTTTCTTATCAGTAAATGATTTTTTTTGTGACTTTCGTTTTATTCCACATCACTTTATTAGTGAGTAGCATGACGTCATTTATTGTTCGCTTTATCAGTTATAAGCTGAAGTACGAAAAGTCGAGAAAAATTATTTTTACTCTCATATTAATTCCTGTAGTTTTCATTTAATTCATTAGATTTTAGTTTGTGCGTTTGTTTGTCTGATTTCGAAGCTTATCACTCAACAAAGGTCGTTGTGATAAAACATTTTATCAGTTTTCGTGTTTAAGCAGGTTTAGTACCGAAAGAACAATGCGAAAATTTAATTTCATAATCCAATTTTTGTTATAAACGTCGCTGAATAACAAGTTATTGGTTTTAGAAATTTAGAAGAATTCAAAATTTTAACTATTAATAAAATTTTAAAAATCCACAAAAATTCGTTAAAATCTGTTTTTTTTCACGCCCAAGAATCTCACTGCAATTTGCCTCAAGGACCATGAATTCTGATTCTCCGAAAAATGCGCTCACATCCCACATGAATTTCACCATAATAATTCTGATTCGATTATCATTGAATGTACATCAAATAAACTCGTGAATCACGATTGAAATGATTGAAGGGAATCTAAGTGTAAGTAAAGAATGAGAGAAACTAATAAAAGGAATGAAAAAAAAAATCATGAATTACTGCATTATGATTGCCATTCTACGCATAATTGATACTTGAGACGATCAAATAAAGTGTAAAGTATTTTTGAATATTCAATCATTTGATTGGGTCATTAATTATCGCCTAACAATTTACAATTCTCAACCCACATTTCTGACTTTACACGATGGGAACGATGCAGATAGAAGAAAAAGTCTTTTATGATCATGATTCTATTGTTATGTTTTACAGTCACATGTCAAAAAATCTAACGACGAATTCAAGTGGAAATTCCATGAAAATTAAATGTTATGTTCATTTCTTATAGGAAATTACAAGCATTAGAGGCTACAAGCACTTCAAGTACCTCCCTATTTTGAGAAATGTCAACAGTAAGTGCATCATGGAGGTAAATAATGAAAGTAGTAAGCATTTTAAGCTTCTATCTGGTCATTGACCAACTTTAAAAAACGGTAAACGCAATTGTAATCTCGTGTTTACACTTCAAATTACTCTTATGCTCATTTTCATTATAGCTCATTGTACTTGATGATCACATACATATGGGCAAGATCAAAAATGAATTGTTCGTGACGCTTAACAATAATTTACAATTTTTGAATCAATAATGCGAAATATGTATTTAAGACTTGTGTTTTTCTTAAAGTCCTTGCCAAGACCTATATTTTGGTGTATAACAATTATCTCTTAGACATTGTATTATAATTAAAAATTAATTTAAAGTGCTAAGCGTCACGAACAATTTTGAGGAAATTCGATTTTACACCATGTTGCAAATGTAATATCTCTGCGAATACTTCATTAATCATAACGATTTTTTCACCAGATAATTCAGTAATCAGATCATTAAAAGTTTTGTCTAAAATATACAAAATGGCGGATTTGTAAGTTAGCTTAATTCAGCTTTAAAATGTTGAAGCTGAAATTTTGATATGAAGGAAATAGTTTAGGAACTATCTTTCTTTACAAAAAAGGTTACATATGTAATTTTCTTTAAGTCTGTAAGAGAAAATTTTCAATTTTACTATAATTAACCAAGTTATGATGAGTTTTACAAAACTAGTCATAAGTCATTGCTGTGTTATTCGTCTACTGATTTTTTCATTTCAAACTATAGAATTCAACAATGTTTATCATATTGCAAAAGAAATATTACTTTTTGTTCAAGACAAGCAGAGAAAATTAAATTATAGTAAAAAATTTGACCAAAAATTTTGTAACGGTTTTTAAAATTATAAATTTGTGAGCAAATAAGAGCAAAATTTGTTGCTCAACTTAAATTTCAATGTTTTTATAGTTAATTTAACTTACTTTTAAGCCTTTTTCGAATGTAAATTAAATAGTAAAAGACTCTTTAGATATCAAGTAATTGTTCTTGACCGATTAAGGTTAATAGTTTTGATTTAAAAATACATTTTACATTCAATTTGGTTTTCAGTTAATTTAACTAAAATAACTCATTTTTGATAAAATCTATTTAGATCATATGATAGAAAAAAGCAAGCTCTACAACTTTTGTCAAGCTTCCAAACATTTATCTTGCTTTCTTTTCAAAGAAAAATCGATTTCAAATATTAATTTGTTAATTAAACTAGCTTAATAAGTCGCCATTTTGAAAAATGAATGTTAAAAAGAAACTTACTATTATTAGCTATCATGTAGTGAAGGAATCATATTAATTAAGTTATTAAAAGCAGAGAAATCTGAATTTGAATATTTATTCCCTTTTTTTCTGATCTTGCCCATATTATTTTTCCCCAACTCAACCGAGTCCAATCTATTGTTGTGATTTTTTTTTTTTTGATAATGATAATGTTGTGGAATTAAGAAAAGTTATGACTCTATTGCCTTGCTACCGTATTAATGGTGATGGGCTCATTCTATCTTAAATTTCATCTACATTCTTTCATCAAATATGTAATTTCCACCTGTTGGATTTCGTGGAATTCTCTCACAATTATCTATGTTCTTCTTTCTTTGATTTGAAGAACTCACATGACAGCATTTTATGAAATCAGTAGAAATAGTGAGTAGGATAGAAAAAAGACTCAGATGTTGTGTGATTAAACAGCTCTTTTACAGATGAATAAAACGGGTTATAAAAATTCAAATTTAAACGATTATTTGAAATTTGAAAAAAAATCACGACAAAATTTGAATTCGCCTTAAATTTCAAATCCAAAAAATACGTTAAAAACCAAAATACTATCAAATTCCAAGAACATGCATTAAAAGACAATCTGATCAAGATTCTACGAGACAGGTAATAGAAAATAAAGAATAGGAAGAATCGAGTGGAGGTAAAGAAGAAATAAAACATGACAACATAACAATCAATTAAATAAACGATTTCTCAAAAAATTATTTCTTGGTGTGTACCAAGCGAGAGACAGAGAGAAGAGAAATATTTGTTTATAGCATTCTCAAAACTTTCTTCCTGGAGATACATAGATACACTTATAGTGGAGTATCTTGTAGGCATTAAACAAATATCGATATGATGTCCGACAGTGAGTCGAAACGAAACGCAAAATGATAATGGGGAATGAAAGAAATTCTCAGTGAGAAAGTGGACTTTACAGGCACGCTATCTTGTTATCCATTCCTTAATACTCAGTGTTTGGGTAAATAGAGTCACGTGAGAAACTAATAATAATTTAATTCGACATTGAATTTTATTCTGATTGAGACATAACGCTGTATATCCAATTGGGAAGATAAATTCTTATAATCACGACTAAATTAATACCTGTGGATGTGAATTGTAAACTTAGGAGAGAATCTCAATATGCACTTATGTGGCATAAGCATGAAAACAGCTGCTTCAAGGATTCTCATATCGATTTTCTGATTTTCTCGTTCGTTTTTTTTTTATTGCTCTGCGGCATTATTGACAGAGACAGAAAATAAAGCACGACAAGTAACATTTATGATTTAAATATTTAACAGCTTTTAAGAATTTGAAAGTAATGTTGTGAAATTGTGCGGGAAAATTCAAATAAAAAGAGACGGTTGAAAAATAAAATTTGACTCACTTTTATCGTTTATATGAACCGTTCCATCCTTATGAATATTTAAATTTTTTGGTGATTTTGGAACTTTTATTCGATGCGACACCTTCTGTGTTGTTGAGTCCTTCTTGGTATGTTTATCGATAAATTCAATTCGAATGAAATTTCGATACATTAAAACGGATTGATATATCAGCGACCAGGCTTGTTCCTCCGACAATGGAGCATTAAACGAACGAAGGATGTCATCAAGTGACAAACAGTTTTCCTTATCACAACAAAATTCCAAGCAATTTTCAATCTTCTTGACCGATTTATCCAATATTTCAGGATGCTTAATTAAAGATTTGTCATTTATTTTATTCTCTTCCATTTTCTTCATTTTTCCGGATTGATTTTTCTTTCTTCTTCTTCTTAATCACATATTATTATATACTTCATAACTCTATTTATAGAATATTTGTATTAATTTATGACTTTATTTCCTTCGCATTTAGCCAACTTATAACTTTAAAAGCATTTTTTGCGTGTGGAAAATCGATTTTTCACTTCTTTATAGAAAATTATAATTCTTTTCTTTTGTTTAAACTTACTTCCACAAAAAACTTAATTATATTCACAGAGAAAATTATTTTATTTTTTTTATTTATTAACTGGATGTTTATTTTGATTTTTAAATCCAATCAATTTTCTCAATATTACAATCACAAATCACTTTTAATCAGCTGGTAGTTTCATACTACTCTGATCTTTTAAAACTTTTCTATAAAAAATGCACGATAAAACTTAAAATTTCATTAATTATTTTTTACCGGATTTATTTCTAATTTATAGCTTGATTTTTGCTTTACTTTTAATTTTTTGCACAAAATTTTACACAAAATCACTTTCGGATATTCACTTTTTAATTTAGGAGCTTTATTATACTTTAATTAATAAAATTTTGCGAGCAACATTTACAAACGTCTTGTCTTTCCGAATATCGTTTAATAAATGAGCTATTTTCTCTGTTGTTATTCTCTTTGAAAAACTATGCTCTCTGTTGTTACTCTCTTTATGTTACTCTCTGATATTATATGTGAAAGGAATCAAAGTTGAAATGAAGGTACTTTAATTAACTTTAATATCTTAAAATTTAACGAATTTTTTGTTTTTAAACTTATTGGAAGGGTGTTAAAATATAATAATTTTGAAAAAAATTTAAATTCAAAAAATAACGGATGAATTCTAAAGTTAGCAATAATCAATTGTTTTTGCCGGTTTATCTTTACGGAAGTCATACGATGGACCTTGGATTTAATTCTATATAATACAATACGCTAGTATAGTTGTTAAAGTCAAATTTTAAAAAACCAAATAACCATCACGAAATATTTGAAAAACTGAACATGTCCCTACTTTAAATTTTAAAAAACGATAAACCCGTTGCTTTAGTTTTTTGGAATAAAAGATTGAATTAATTAAATAAAGATAATGACAATGGATATAAGTAAGAAAATGATACAGTCAATAAATATTTATATCATCTTAATTAAATGACCTGAAAATTATAAGTAAAAACAATAGGGAGATTTGGTTATTAACAATTTATTGAAATGACATCCAATCAAATGTAATGATGCGATCCTCACTTAGTAATCACGTTGTTAATGACATATTTTGATCGATTCTTATGTCGCAATTGTCGCTAAACTGATTTATTAAGTTGCCAAATGATTCAATTTAATAGACATGCTTATGAACTTACTCATAAAAAGACATCTTAATACATTCAAATTCAATTAAATCTAGATATTTATTTGAAGGAAGCTGACTCTCTTAATTTTTTTTAAACAATCATATTTTTAAGTACATGTAAATCCCCACTGTAAACTGCAGGTATCAAATCTTTGTTTGTGACTTAATCCACTGTCTTACGGAAGAAACTTTCGCATAAACTCCATAATATTTTGGTAATGCACATCCTTGTCCGAAGGAAACAACTCCAACTAAGAGATTCTTTTCTCGATCAACCATTGGACCACCTAGAAAATTCTTTTAAATAGAAGCAAATCTATAAAATCAATGTTGTTGGATATTTTACCTGAATCGCCCTGAAATATTGAGAGTAAATGATATTCTTATTAGAGTTTATTTTGCATTTATTGAAATTTTATTATATAATATGAAGAATGGGGTGTAAAATTCTCAAACATTTTATTATAAACTCACCGAGCAGCTATCCTTTCCACCTTCTTTAAAACCAGCACAGACCATATTATTAGTTATCATGATTGGATATGAATTTCTGCAGATATTTTGTGGAACAATTGGAACCAAAACGCCTCTTAATTTGTTGTCAGCTTTACCATTCATTTTAGTCATGCCATATCCAGTTACGTATACGTTGATATTATTCTCAATTTTTTGATTATTTTCAGGCAATGCAATGATCTCCTTCACACCTTTCTGTAGCTTTATTTCTCCGACTAATTTTAAAATAGCAAAGTCATTGTTCAAGGTTACAGTATTAAAAAAAGGATATGAAGTTGCCTTCTCAACTTGAAAGACTTCGCCGTCTTTATAGGCATAATTGGAACCGACACGGACTGACAATTTGTTCTTATATTCTTGAACGCAATGTGCAGCACTTAATAAGTATTTTGTAGAAATTATGGAAGCACCACAAATGAAACTTCCAGAATATAACAATGCAGCTTGATATGGAGCATCTGAAATTGATATTAAGTCACCACCGACTATTTTGTCTGATTCACATTTTATTTCACTACAAATTAAGAGAGGAACTAAGAGTACTATGTAACTATTCATTTTCACTAAACTAGATATTTTCGACTGTGATCTCATGAGATCTTTCTGATGCTATTTATACTAGGTTCTTATCATGACTTTTTATCTTTGAAAATCTTGAGCAATTCTGCGTTTCTGTTGTAAGTTTGACTATTCTTTAGGTCAAGGCCTTAATATTCTGATATGTGGAAAATTTTATTGTGGATTCGGTGATGGTGGAGGAGCTGAATCATTTTCGTCATTCAATTCTTCTTCATCGGCACTCAAGTCTTTAAAGAAATAATTGGATTAGAGTATTCGATTCAATTTAGATCCCAGAATTATAACTTACCATCCAAAGTATCCTCACTGTCCTGGGTTGACACTTGATCAGCAGTTTGACTCTGACTTTGATCTTCAACTTCACCCTTTTCACGTTTCTTACGGCGCTTCCTTTTCTTCTTTTTGCTGCCATTTTCACAACTGTCATTCTCTTGTTCTTCTTCTTCTGGAACATTATATTCAAGCGGAAATAGCCGAGCACAATCAGTTTTTCCATCAAGTGTATTCTTGGACATATAGCAAGGGCCCAATTGTGCCAATATTTTAGCGATATCACTGCGCTTTTTTGCAATTTTCATCATTAATTTATCATTTCTGAAAGTAGATGACATTCCAATGGAATTACACAATTATGTAACAGCAAGCAGACTACAACTTACACGGTCGGCTTTAAGGTATCATATTTCTCAGTCGTCTTTGCAATTAAAGTGCACGTATGAATATCCTCAGTCGAAAAATATCCATAGGCCAATACATCTTCTTCATAAGGCTTACAGATATCGAAAATATTTTGACGTTTGTAGGCATCAAAAACGAAAAGCAAGTGTTGTGGCATTGGAGGCATATCAGGTGGTAAAAAATGTTCAGTACAATTACGAAAGAAGATATATATGAATGCAGCATTCGCTCTTTTATTTTTTGGTGTCCAACTGGGTGGAATGGTATATCTCTTTATTGGTTGTCCAGTTTTCTCGTCATGTGTAGGAAGTGCTGGTTGTGGTGGCGGTTGCTCTTGCTTCTTTCCTGCACCAGTTGTAATTCTTTTGTTTGGATTCTGTCGAACTTCAATAACTGGCTCATAGCCTGGCACGTACTCTGCTGATTCTAAAATTGCTGGAGTCTTTGAAATTATTTTCTCGCCAGATTCATCGTAGACAATGTCTAAGAATATAAATAGCATATATAAGGTGATTAATCATGGTGTAAAATATAATTTTACTTGGAACAGCGATAGTTTTGTGAAAGATATTCAGCACTTCCTCTGGTGTGCGAGTATCGGTATCTCCAAGCTTCCACAAAAACAGCAACACCTCTTTGTTAAACAAGTATTCAAGAATCACATCAGGTAACGGATTCTCAATTTCAAAATGAAGCACCTCAAGCATATCAGGTTTAATTTTAACAATCTTACGATCTTTGCTTGTCAATTCCATTTTATCAGCTATATCAGCAGTTCTGCGGTAAGCTTCTTTCATCACATGTGGAAGATACATTGTCACACCCATGTCAACAATATGCTCCATGATTTGATCTGTCACATAACGAATGTATTCTTTTCGTTGTTGTATGGCTTGCTCAACTTCCAATCTTAAAGTTTCTTCTTCCAACTGTTGCTTCAACACTTCTCTTTCATGCTCATCTGGTAGAAGTTGATCGAATTCATAGAATATACGCTCATAATCACCTGCTTTGTATCTCTCTTCTAATTTTAATTCTTGAATGATGATAGCCATCAATTTCGGAACATTACATCCAAGCATCATGCTTACGATTTTTCCATTCTAGAAATTATTGATTTTTTTGGAAATAGATCGATTGCTGTTGGGTGTTTCGTTCATGACGTCCATTTAATTATTGTGACCCCCCCCCTCACTTTTTATTTCCATAATCCACAGAAAATAAATATCACCACAATCTCTTCCCCCCCCCCTCCTATTTACCCAAATTAAAGACGTCATGACAGTACAACCCTTAAAAAAATATGTAATCAATCTTACGCTGCAAAACAGCCATGTAGGCTCAGATCTATTACGAAACCTCTTCAACTTCTGAATTGAGTCACTTCTCGCAATTGCTAAATGAAGATGATCACCGCCAATTTCCAGTTTTGCCTTCTTTAAATACCCAATCATTCCGACGCATGGACCAGCCCATGAATAAACGTCGATAACTGTTATTTTGTGGATCAAACATTATTTTATATGATAAAGTAAAGACTAATGGACTTACCTAAAATTCCATCTCGTTCCAAAAACTTTTCCAGCTCATCGTCTGTAAAAAGTTCAGCTTGAAGCTGTTGTATTCCACCTTTCTTCGCCATGTCAAATTCTGCAACTTGTTATTTCGTTGCTATGGAAATATTTTCGTCTAGACTCTTGACCGTTAAATATGAAAAGTCACGTGTGATGTGTGCTATTTTTTGAAAATTTCGTTTGATGTCATTTTGGACGGCTGTTTGGTAGATCTTATGAATATTCGTGATTTTAATGGCTTGTTTAGCTAATGGATTGATGTTGCTGACTTAAAATCTGAATTAAGTCCATGAAAATATGAAGTTTTATTAAATAAGTTAAAGTTTCTGGATCTTGATAAATGCGCTACTGGATCTCCTAAAGGAACTAATTTATTGCCAGTAGAATTGTTTGTAAACAAGATCAATAGAAATAACTTCGAATTCATTTGAAAATGGGAGCTTCCAGCACAAAATCTCGAGATCCAGAAATCGAGAACTTTGTACAAGAAACGATAGAAAAGAATCGCGTTGTTATTTTCTCAAAAACATTCTGTCCATACTGCACAATGGCTAAAAATGTAAGATTTTAGCTTTCTATTTAAAATATATTATTGATTAGGTCACCAAAAAAAATAATTTTTTTTGCAGCAATTCGAGATGTTGAATGCTGAGTATAAAGCAATAGAAATCGAGAACAGACAAGATTGTGATCAAATACAGGACGTTCTTGGTGACATGACAGGAGCTCGATCAGTTCCAAGAGTATTTGTTAATGGTAATTTTATAGGAGGAGGAACTGATGTTAAAAAGCTTTATCAATCGGGTCAATTGGCTAAAATGTTAAATCAAAGTTAAATCTTCATTAATTTAAATCTATGATAAATGCCTCAAATATTATTTAAAACCTAAATAAATTATTATTTTATCGCATTAAAATTAATTCTGTATGTATTATGTTCCATGTTAACCTTTAAGTAATGAATAAAAGAAGTATTAGAGTTTTTTGGTCCCGATAATTTAAACAATCCAACGGTAAAACTTTATTTAAAAAATTATCTATAACTAGGTTGAATTAAAGAGCCAGTTTTTAATGAAATGCCTTGATATTTAGTCAACGAGTATAGATAATTAATAAAACCATTCAGATGCGAGCTCTAGTCAACAAGGAAGTTGATAATGAATTAAATTAACGGTTGAAAAAAATTCAAAATCAGTTCTACAAGTTATTTACTGGTCTGGCCATAAAAATGGGGAATTTTTCATGAAGCTTTCAGATTAGTTTAATTCACGGGATAATTAACCATGTTATGTTTTTGCTTTATGAGTTGTTATATCAAACAAGCTGCCAGACACAAGTGACATTTTATTCGAAAAAAATAATTTTGGAAATTTTCGTTCAACGAAATTTTGGCTAGCTCCAAAACAAAAGCGGCAACGTGAAAAATAAGTAATTCCAAAGAAAATAGTTTTCTCGTTTAATTAAAGAAATTCGTAATATAATAAAGTGACGATTATATCAGTAAAGCAGCCATGGACATGTTTAATAAGTTCAACAATTATTTGGAAGAAGAACAAGAGATTCGTGAGAAAATCCGTGAAATTGTGAGGTAAGCAAGATATTTTTCAAGGCGTGGAAACTATGAAAATATCTGGGATTATCGGAGATATTTCATGGATATGTGGGATAATATGGGATATTTTGGGATAAGTAAGGATATTTAGTAAATAAATAAAAAAAAATATAAACAGACAAGCGTGTTTGCTCTCTGGGTGAAATTTCTGTATAAATTTCAAGAAATTAGTAATTTTTTGGAGTGTTGTATTTTCCCGAAAAGCAAAATAACGAATAACCGTTATTACGAATTACAAATTTACGAATGTTCATTTTTACGAAAATTTTTATGGTAAAAACTTATAGGATATAATTTGAATCTCAAAAAACCGTTGGTTAAATCAAACATTAAAATACAATTAACATTAATTTCATCATTTAAATGCGAATAGATATGATATAATAATTATGAAAAGATGAAGGATTAATAGAACTACAAAAAGATTTGCATTTATTTAAATGTGTAAAAAAAATTCTTGTTTTATGGGTAATTCCATGAGAAAATTTTATAGACAAAATATTTCACATTTAAATAAATGCAAATCTTATTTTCAGTTCTATTAATCCTTCATCTGTTAATAATTATTTATAATATCTATTCGCATTTAAATGATGAAATTAATGTTATTTGTATTTTAATGTTTGATTTAACCAGCGGTTTTTTGAGATTCAAATTATATCCTATAAGTTTTTATCATAAAAATTTTCGTAAAAATGAACATTCGTAAATTTGAAAATTCGTAAAAATTGTTTTTCGTTATTTTGCTTTTCGGGAAAATACAAAACACTCAATTTTTTAAGATAAAAATCCACAAAAAAATAATTTTTTCTTTAAAATTAAAATTTGATCTATTTTTTGTTTTAACATGTTTAAAACACTTTTAAACTTACTTAAAATGTTGTTTTGTATTAATATTTTTAAAAAATTAATAAAATTATTAAAATATAACATAAATTGGAGTGTTTTGTATTTTCCCGAAAAGCAAAATAACGAAAAACAATTTTTACGAATTTTCAAATTTACGAATGTTCATTTTTACGAAAATTTTTATGGTAAAAACTTATAGGATATAATTTGAATCTCAAAAAACCGTTGGTTAAATCAAACATTAAAAGACAATTTACATCAATTTCATCATTTAAATGCGAATAGATATGATATAATAATTATTATAAGATGAAGGATTAATAGAACTACAAAAAGATTTGCATTTATTTAAATGTGTAATATTTTTTCTTGTTTTATGGGTAATTCCATGAGAAAATTTTATAGCAAAATAAAATTTTTATAGAGAAAATATTTCACATTTAAATAAATGCAAATCTTATTTTCAGTTCTATTAATCCTTCATCTGTTAATAATTATTTATCATATCTATTCGCATTTAAATGATGAAATTAATGTTATTTGTATTTTAATGTTTGATTTAACCAACGGTTTTTTGAGATTCAAATTATATCCTATAAGTTTTTACCATAAAAATTTTCGTAAAAATGAACATTCGTAAATTTGAAAATTCGTAAAAATTGTTTTCCGTTATTTTGCTTTTCGGGAAAATACAAAACACTCCAATTTATGTTATATTTTAATAATTTTATTAATTTTTTAAAAATATTAATACAAAACAACATTTTAAGTAAGTTTAAAAGTGTTTTAAACATGTTAAAACAAAAAATAGATCAAATTTTAATTTTAAAGAAAAAATTATTTTTTTGTGGATTTTTATCTTAAAAAATTGAGTGTTTTGTATTTTCCCGAAAAGCAAAATAACGAAAAACAATTTTTACGAATTTTCAAATTTACGAATGTTCATTTTTACGAAAATTTTTATGATAAAAACTTATAGGATATAATTTGAATCTCAAAAAACCGTTGGTTAAATCAAACATTAAAATACAAATAACATTAATTTCATCATTTAAATGCGAATAGATATGATATAATAATTATGAAAAGATGAAGGATTAATAGAACTGAAAATAAGATTTGCATTTATTTAAATGTGAAATATTTTTTCTATAAAAATTTTATTTTGCTATAAAATTTTCTCATGGAATTACCCATAAAACAAGAAAAAATATTACACATTTAAATAAATGCAAATCTTTTTGTAGTTCTATTAATCCTTCATCTTATAATAATTATTATATCATATCTATTCGCATTTAAATGATGAAATTGATGTAAATTGTCTTTTAATGTTTGATTTAACCAACGGTTTTTTGAGATTCAAATTATATCCTATAAGTTTTTACCATAAAAATTTTCGTAAAAATGAACATTCGTAAATTTGTAATTCGTAATAACGGTTATTCGTTATTTTGCTTTTCGGGAAAATACAAAACACTCCATAAATTGTTACAAAAAAGTGATAAAACTTTGAATATTTAAGAGAAATTTTATCGAAACGGTATGAAAATTGTCTCAAATGAAATCAAAATGTCAACGAAACAAAATTTAAGTTGTGTTTAAATATATTAAATATTTCAATTATCGGTAACACCAGAAATGTTTGACTATGAAGACTTGAACCTTTCTTAAAGAACATCAAAATAATTTAAAATGGTTTTTAAATTCAAGACAAATGCATTTCGGTAAATAATGAGCATTTTTGTCCATTAAAAAACTAATATAACCAAAGGTCGAACAAATTGAGCTTTAAATCTGAGCTACGAACACAATTGATTAGAAGCTTTATTAATTATAAGGTAATAACATTCACTTGAAGTTTCCTCGATCTAAACCAGCTTCAAGAAAATTAAAATTGAAAAAAAAAATTGGACCCATGAAAATAAAAATTTTGCTTGTAAAATGAAATCAGGATTTTCAATCCCGGGATTACGGGGTTAAAAATTTCTAATCTGGACAATAAGGAAAAAGTTGTCAATAAGACTTAAAAGCTGTTTAAATTAAAACTTATTTTTATATAAAAAAAACTTTCCGATAAACAAAACATTTTATTTCTGATTTGAATTTAACTGAATGTATTCAATTTTAAAGTTCATCAGATTGTAAGATTATAAAATAAAGATTAAGGTAATCGAAAATTTCAGTTTTAGAATATTTAAGTCGAGTCCGAGTCGACTCGACTCCATTCAAAATTTCATTGACTTCGAGCTCTGTTAAATACAATACAAAATACAAAAAATTTTTAATATTCTTACTCAACCTTAATTATTTGCCTGATTGATAAATTATTAAGTTTAACTGCACCAAAAATAACCCCAATTTATGAATTATAAATGTTAATAAGTTATTTAAATTAAATAGAAATTAAAGAACCATAAAAACTTGTTCACACGAAATGACCAGAAATTAGTCGACATGAGTTGATTCGACTCCATACAATATATTTGATTTAAAAGTTTTCAATACAATTTTTTTTTCCTTTTGAATCAAAATATTTCATTTTGTTTAAAAATTATAAATTGCAAGTAGGGATAGACTGATTTTATCCTTTTAAATTTCTGTCATATTAACCACTAGCAGTTAAGAGCCCATAACTGGTCCAGTTTTGTGTTAATATGCACGTTACAATTCGGTACCATGTGCACCAGTCAAAAACATTCAATACCACCTACCTCCTATGCAAAACCAGTAATATGTAACTATCAAAACCCTTTAATTTATTAACCGGCACTGCCGATGTTTGTTCGCCCTTAAATAAGTAAATTTCAATTGTTAAATATAGCTAGGTCATGATTGGAACTAAAACCAGTAACATAACAGTCATACTTGGAACCAAAAACTAAGATCCAAGATTATATAAGTCATATTTAGAACCAAAACCATTGATCCAGTGGGGAAAAGGTCATGTTTGGAACCAAAAACAAAGATCCAGTAACATAACAGTCATAGTTGGAACCAAAAGCTAAGATCCAAGATTATATAAGTTATATTTAGAACCAAAACCGTAGATCCAGATAATATGGGATAATATTAATATTTTCATAGTTTCCACGATTTGATATTTTTGGAATCTCGCAAAGATCCAAAGAAGAAAAAAATGTAATTAACTTAATACATTGAATTCCAGACAAATCGATACAGAATCAAAAGAAGCAGTGACAGTTCTTCAAATCATACATACTAGTTTAACTGATGTAATGCCGGCTTGCTTAAAAGCCCGTGAAATATTCCAGAGATGTAATGATATGTATCAGAAATTAGCACAAGTAGTTCCAACTGGGCAATACTATCGATTTAGTGATCATTGGAATTGGACAACACAACGACTCATTAGTTTAATTGCTCTTGTCATTTATCTTGAAGCTGGAATTCTCGTTTCTCGTGATACTTCTGCCGAAATCTTAGGACTTAAATCCAGCAGCTCAGATGGATTTCATCTTGATCTAGAGATGTATCTAATGGGAATATTGCAAATGTCAAATGACTTATCACGATTTGCAATCAATAGTGTAACTTTAGGTGATTACAGTCGAGTTCTTTTGCTTCAAAACTTCATCTCAGATTTGAGCAGTGGATTTCGTCTATTAAACTTGAAGAATGATGCTCTACGTAAGCGCTTTGATGGATTAAAGTACGATGTTAAGAAGATTGAAGAAATTGTCTATGACCTTTCGATTCGTGGATTATTAATCAAACCAGTTGATACGGAATCTCTTCCTGAATCATCTATGAAAGAAGACTGAAGTGAAAATAGTATACAGCTACTGTAACTTTAAGAATTACTTATTATAAATCAATTTTGTAATGAACGTGAGTGAAATAAAGAATAAATAATATTTGAGAGGATCAACTTCCGATATATTGGGTATGTGTACAAGTTTATTTAACGAAAGTATATAAGCAACAGGTTTCATGGCTATCAAAGAGAAATGCAATAAATTCGATCAATAGAAACCCTAATTTAAATTAATCACAATCTTCTTAATTCCTCAAATACCACACTATAAGAAAATGCGATACACTGTTTACTAATTTTTTGTTTGGCGCTATTTATAAATCAGTAACAGACTTGATTGCTGTCAAATCACACGTGAGGTAGTAAAATAATGATTGTGACAAATGAGCTTGAGATTTTTGAGGAGCCGTTGAAATCACCAAGTGATAGAAAACAATATCGTTTACTTAAATTATCGAATGGCTTGAAAGTATTGTTAGTAAAAAATGCTGAGATTAAGGAAAGTAATTTGAGAGACAATCTTGCAGCTGTTGCTCTAGTTGTGGATGTAGGAAGTTTTGAAGATCCGAGTGAAGTTCAAGGACTAAGTCATTTTTTAGAGCATATGGTAACATCACACAATATTTTTGTGCATGATTAATAATTTAATATCCTTTACATGTGTCCAACGAACACAGGTCTTTATGGGATCTGAAAAATATCCGAAAGAAAATGAATTCGATCAATTTATCAAAAATCGTAACGGAATTGACAATGCTATGACTGAGGTTGAATATACAATATTCTATTTTAAAATCGATCAAGCTGCTCTCTCGGGTGCCATTGACCGATTTTCTCAATTCTTTATTCATCCATTGATGTTAACAGATAGCATGGAACGTGAAATTGAAGCAGTTGAATCGGAATTTCAAAATAATATTTATAATGATACTTATAGAATTAATCAAATCTATTCATCAATGGCACGTGATCAACATCCAGCGAGAAATTTTACTTGGGGCGATTTGAGAACTTTAAAGAAAGGAATCGATAGTAATACATTGAATAAGATTCTGCATGAATTTCGAAAAAAATTCTACAAATCAAATCGTATGAATTTATGTATTCAGTCAAGCATGAATCTCGACATATTACAAGCAATCATAGTTCGATACTTTAATGATATAAAGCCAGAATACGGAACAATTTATAAAACAATATCCATTGATCCATTTAAAGATGTATTTAAACCTGAATTCCACCAAAAAATCTATTTTGTAAAATCACTTACGAAGAAACGAAAGCTTTTTATGACTTTTCTTCTTCCATCCATTGAATGCGACTACAGGAATAAATCTCTCGAGTATCTCGCTTATCTATTCACTCATGAAGGTCGCTATAGCTTGAATTCATATTTTAAGAATAGAAATTTAGCGCTACATGTTATCGCAAAAGTCGGTGCACGAAATTTTGATGGCAACTCTATGTTCACATTTTTTACCATCGAAGTGAATCTCACGAGGGAAGGGTACGAGAACATTGGAAAAGTTTTAGAAGCAATATTCTCGTATCTGCTCGTTATTAAAATGACGCCAATGGATGAACATGAAGAAGTTTTTACTGAATTTAAACGAACCAAAGAAATACTTTTTAAGTACCGGAAAGAAAAGTCAATTTTAGAGAATGTACAAGAGCTAGCTTTGAATTTAAAGTATTTTAAAAATGAGGATGTAATTATTGGTCAAGAAGTTTGCAATGATTTCGATGAAATTTCATTAAGAAAGTTCATTAATGGAATCAACGATAAAAGGTTCAATTTAATAATTTTATCAGAACAGCATGAAAAGTGCAACATGGTGGAACATTGGTTCGGAACTGAGTATGCTGAAGTTGGTAAGTAAATCTTGCATTTCTGGTGTTTCAGAGTTTTTTGCTAAGTGTCTATAACTGATTGGCGATACACATAATGCTAAATTTAGGTTTAACCTGAATAAGTGTTGCATTGGGCAAAGATCTTTGTTAAACCTAATCGTACATAATATTCAAACCTAGATAAGCAGATAAACCCATTGACCTAGACAGCCAGTATTCTTCTGAGTTTCCGAAAATCCCTAGCACCTAAATCTTTTATGCAGCTTAAAATTATGAAATTTTCTTCACTTTCCTAGACTTCCCAGCAAAATACTCGCAACTGTGGAACGAGCGGTGGATACGAAAAGAGTTTTCTCTCCCATCTAAAAATAAATTCATTTGTAATGACTTTAGCTTAGTGATGCCTCAAGATTCTCATGAAGTACCTCATATAATTTTCAAAAATGAATTTAGTACATGCTTCTTTAAACCAGATAATAAGTTTCTACTTCCACACGGATTTATAAACGTACATTTTATATCACCGCTAACACATTCCTCCGTAGAATTCCTTAATATGACATCAATTTATTCGATGTGTGTTAAAAATTATCTAGCTGAAAAATTATATCCTGCGACTTTAGTCGGATACAATTATAAATTAAACTCCGTTGAGAATGGATTGATTTTACGTTTGAGTGGATTTAATGAGAAGCTGAAATTAATTGTCGACACAATTACGAAAGCGATGAAGAATGTCGATGGATTCCTTGACAAATTAGTTTTCGATATTTTTAGAAAGGAGCTGAGGAAGAATTGTTATAATTATCTCATCAATTCTAACCAATTTGTAGAGTAAGTTGAGATGTGGGTTTGTTCACAAATGATGTCCGGTTTTTAAGTTTTAAATAACGTTACTTAATCAGTGCAGACTCTGACTGTTACCCTAAAGAAAGATTTTAAAGCTGTTTTGACTTAAATTAAGTGCACAAATTTTAAAAAATTTCACCCCTGATTAGGCATCATTTTTGAATGACCTATTGTTATTTATTTAAGAACATCAATTTAAATTCACTTTCTTTATAGAGATCTACGCCTACATGTGATAAAATCTAATCATAAGTTCTACTACGATCGTTTTAAACAATGTGAAAAAATTGACTATAATTCATTTAAAGAATTTATTCAAAATTTCTTCAAATCCTTAAAGTTAAAAATTTTGATTCAAGGAAACTTTACAAAAAACTCAGCTCTAGAAATCAATGATGTCATCATGAGCAATCTAAATTTAACGAAATGCACTCAAAAAACCATGAAAAATTCAACATATAAAATAGCATATGGAACTACTTACCTTAAAGTAAAATCTATCCATCCAAACGATAAAAATTCTATTGTAAAAAATTACTATCAGATTGATGGGAATACGATTGAATCGCAATGTCTTTTAGAGCTGCTTGTGAAGACAATTCGTGAACCTTTATTCAATATTCTAAGAACAAGAGAACAATTGGGATATGCTGTAAGTTGTGCTAGTAAAAATGACTATGACATTTTAGGATTTTCAATTATCGTCGAGTCTCAAGAGAAGAGAAACTCTGCCAGACTTACTGACGCCAAAATAGAAAATTTTCTTTGGGAATTTCTGTCAATCCTCAACGAAATGAACGAGAGTGATTTTGAAGTCGTGAAGCGTTCAATTATTAATCAGAAACGTTCGATTGACAATGATCTAGAGATTGAAGTAACAAGAAATTGGAATGAAATTCGAGAGAAGAAGTTTAAGTTTGACAGGTGCGAAATTGAAGCACAACAAATGGAATTACTAAATAAAGAGTCTCTCATCATCTTCTTCAAGGAATTTATTCTCTCACCGTTACGGCGAAAATTGTCGATTCAAGTTCTTGCTAATGCAGGAGATGACGACTTACTATTGCAACATGGTTTCGTTCACATTAATATAGTATGCAGTGATGATGACAGTCAAAACATAGTTCGTAATTTATTACAATTTAAACAAACATTAGAAGTTTTTCCTACGGGAGCTATAAACTTTATGTGATGAATATTTTCTTTTAGTACTTTATTTTTTTGCTGTGAAATTTAATCTCCTTAAAATATCTGAATTTAAAGTATTCGGGGTGCCTATCTGTTAGATTTTAATTTAAAACATTTGAGATTGTCTAGTCACTCAAGTGTGTTAAATTACTTTACTGGAACCCATTGTGTCTAGAAATCAGCTTTGGTACTGCTAGAGGTCTTTCCTAAGAATAGATTTTTTTGTTTTGGAAATCCAGTTTAAATAGGATATTTTCAAATTATGGATTTGCTTATAAAACCTTACGGCCTGTTTCACTAAAGTGGATTATCCTCGATTTCGGATTATCCACTTCAGTTTTTCGGAAATATCTCCAGACGTTTAAGGTTATTAAGAGATCTAAAGTGTGATCTCCTTAAAGTACTTTGCTACTTAAATTAACATATACTAAGAATTTTTATATCTTCATTAGTTTGAGAATTATAGCAAAAATTGAAGTTAATCTTCTAGATTTGGCTAGAAAATTGAATAATTAATATTTCTTAATATAATAATATAATTAATATATAATATAATAGTTCTTAACGAAAAGCAAAAGTTTAAAGTGTACAGAAATTTCAGGCATACTTCACTCTTTTATAATCCAAAATTAGAAATACCACACCTCCCATACAGTTTAAGATATTTACAAAAAACTGAAATGGATGATCCGAAATCGAGGATAATCCACTTTAGTGAAACAGGCCGTTAATTCCTAGTATAAAACCTAATAGTTATTCACCCTATTTAAACTGTATGAAGCAGTATAAAGTTTCATAAATTTGTCTTACTGCCAAAATTCCTACTTTACATGTACCATTTGAAAAATACCATTAAAGTCATGTCAAAAGTTTTATGACATGCTACTGATTAAATCCCATAAAACTTAATTAGTACAAAAGCGTTTTTTGTTTCTCACAAAAACTCGTGTGTGTTTAAATTTTTCATTAATTAATTTATGAATGAAGGAAGAAGATAACGTAAATAAAGAGTTTAGAAGCAACTCGTGGAAGCGAGAAAAGAAAACAACAACAGAAGTCTTTCTTTTGATTAAATAATTTTATCACATGCTCATTTACTTTCACTGCCTTCTATTCACAGAGAAATTGTCGATTGTAACGCCAGAACAGCTGCGACTTATTTATAATTTGTACTACAAATATTATAAACTCTCAAAAGCTGATGATAATTAAAATAAAATTGTGTGTTTGTCTCTCTCTTTTGTTCAGTATTCGAGTTCATTGTGAATTAGCATGAAGTTTGATAATTTGCTAGAGGAACCCGTTGTGTCTTTAAGTGATAGAAAAAATTATAAAATTTTAAAATTGCAAAATGGCTTAAAAGTTTTGCTAATCAAGCAACAGAGTGATAATGATGATGAGTTGTGTAGATATAAGAAATATAAATCAAATGCTGCGGCTGTCGCATTGTGTGTTGATGTAGGAAGTTTTAAAGATCCCAGAGATATACAAGGAATGAGTCATTTGTTGGAACATGTGGTCAGTAAATTATTCGACTTGTTCATGTTTTTTTTTTCGTACGATGAAATCAAAATATTATTTTACTCCTAAAGGAACTAAGTCTCAGGCAATCGCCTGTCTGTAGTCTGCATTTCTGTCATATATATTAGCTTCAATTTAAGCCCTTTCTTTGTGAACTTTTGCTTGTTTATTGGGCATAATTTTTAACCTTAGATACCAGACTTATTAAAAAATTTGTAATTAATAATTAAAGTAATAATTGTTCTGAACTAGGATGGTCAGATGAGAGATGGCTTTTTCTCAAACCCTTAGCAAATTGAATAAATTTCTCATGTAAAATTGATTAGGACTACCACGAGCTACATTTCTAAATTGAGGTTATCGAATGAAAAGCTTTAGAATGATCAGTAGATTACGGTCCTAGCTGTGCAAGATGTGGAACACTATGTTTTCAATATTGTTTCTGTAAAATGCATTAAGGTTAATAATACTTGAACCACCCTTAACTAGTCTTATTCTCCATCCACAGATCTTCATGGGATCCGAAAAATATCCAAAAGAGAATGAATTTGATCAATTTGTTTCATCACACGGCGGATATGACAATGCGTATACAGAAAGTCAATACACTGTATTTCACTTTGACATTATTGAAAAACATCTTGCTGGTGCTCTCGATCGATTCGCAAATTTATTTATATCACCCTTGATGTCACTTGACAGTATACAAAGAGAAATCATTGCCGTTGAATCTGAATTTCAAAATAATATAAATGATGATGATGTGAGAATAAATCAGATTTATTCAACGATGATATGCGATGAGCATCCTGCTTCAAATTTTATTTGGGGAAATTCAGTGACCTTGAAGGATGGAGTCGATGGAAGAATCTTGTATGGGAAATTGCACGCATTTAGGAGAAAATATTATACGCCAAATCGGATGTATTTGTGCATTCAATCAAGTATTGAAATAAGCAGACTCGAGAGAACTGTTATTGCTACGTTTTCAGATATTCCAATACCAAATGATGCAAAGATTCACGATACAATTGCTTCAAATAATCCTTTCGAGATTTTTAAATCGGATTTCCACGAGAAAATTTTCTTTGTTAAATCAACATCGGAGAAGTGCAAGCTTCTTATGACATTCTTATTTCCAACAAATCCAAAAGAATATAAATTCCTCGAATATCTCGCATCATTGATTCAATATGAAGGTCCTGGAAGCTTATCAGATTATTTCATGGATGAGTTGCTAGCATTAAAAGTGAAAGCTCGTGTGGGATATCAAGACTTTGGAGGAAATTCATATTTTACATTCTTTACGATCGATGTCAATTTGACGTCGAGAGGCTTTCAAGATTTTGATTGTGTTTTGAGAGCAATTTTTGCTTACTTGCTGCTGCTTAAGTCGACTAAACTTGAAGAGCATGAAACGAGGTTTAAAGAGTTTAAGGAAATCAGTGACACCTTGTTCAAATACCGTAAAGAAAAGTCTGCAATTGAAAATGTTCAAGATATTGCTGTGAATATGAAATATTATGATGACAAGAACATCATTATTGGAAGTGATTATTGTCCTGATTTCAACGCTTCCGTCATGAAAGGATTAATTGAAAAGCTCAATGAGAAAAAGTTTAATCTCTTAATTTTATCAGATAAATCTTGTGCTGCTTATCAGATGAAAGAAAAATGGTTTCAAACTGAATATTCTGCTGTTAACTTTCCACAAGAGTATAATAAGCTTTGGAATGAGAGATGGCTTATGAATGAGCTTTACCTACCATCACCAAATAAATTTATATGCAAAAGTTTTGGGATTTTTAATAATCCAACAGAGCAAGATGAAAAGTTTCCACGAAAGATTTTTGAAAATGAAATTTGTGAATTATATTATAAGATGGATAAAAATTTTAAGCTTCCGTATGCTTACGTCTACATTTTCTTCATCTCACCGCTTTCACAATTGTCAACTGAGAATCTCAATATGACCTCTATTTATTCAATGTGCGTGAAAAATTTCCTATCTGAAAAATTATATCCAGCGACACTCGTCGGTTACAGCTATAAATTGAATTCAGTCGATTCTGGGTTGATTTTACGGTTGAATGGATTTAATGAAAAATTACAATTGATTCTCGAGATTATTACAATGCAAATGAAAAAGTCAATTACAAAATGTACTTTTGAGACATTCAGGAGGGAATTGAAGAAAAATTGTCATAATTGCATGACGGATTTGAATATATTGAATGAGTAAGTAGGTTGCGCAGTGTTGTTAACTTGGTTTCTGATCTGCGACAAAGCTAGTTTGTTTGTTTACATTTCTGGGTATATTTTACATTTTTGGAATATAGCCAATTGTTTAAGACAGGTCTAAGGTATACTCTGTAATCAAGGTGGAATGCCGTATAACTTCAGACCTTAAATATTCATTTTGATAAACGATAGAAACTGAAGATACTGAGTTGTTTGAAGAACCAACACTGCCAATAATTTATAAGCATAAGATTTGTCACTCATGAGATTTAATTTTTCTTACAGTGATTACAGACTGACCGTCCTCAAGCAGAATCATCGATCATTCCACGAAAGATACAAGCAAATTGACTCAATTAAGTATCAAGATTTTAAACTTTTCGCAACAAAAATTCTCGAGACATTAAAGATGAAAATATTAATCCAAGGAAATATCGTAAAAGCACGCGCTGAGTATCTCAAAGAATTAATAGTAGAAAATTTGAAGCCACAAAAAATTAACGATTTTCCAAATGAATCTCAAATTTATGAACTTCCTCTCGGCTCCACTTACATTAAAAATAAGTCATTACGCAACAATGATTATAATGCCATTATTAAAAATTATTATCAAGCCGGAAGATCCGATATTAAATTGGAGTCTCTCACTGAGATTTTAGCAAGTATCTTGATGGAGCCACTTTTTGACATTCTTCGAACACACCAACAACTTGGATATGGAATTAATTGTTCAGCGAGGAAAAATAATCGCGTTATGGGTTTGGTAATTACAGTCGAGTATCAAGAGAATCTTCATTCGTCAGAATTCATTGATGCGAAAATTGAAGAATTTCTGATTGAATATCAAAACACCTTGAATGCGATTAGTGAAGAAGATTTTATTGCCGCTAAACGATGCTTCATCTCATCTAAACTCACTTCAAATACAGATCTTGAAGTTGAAGTGATACGGAATTTCGATGAATTAAGAAATTACGAAGATGTTTTCAATAGACGAGAACTTGAAGCGGATGAAATTGAAAATATCACAAAAAAGGAAATTTTGGAATTTTATAGAAAAGTTTTGCTCGATACAGCGACAAAAAGAAAATTGTCAGTACAGATAACAGGCACTAATGGAGCGAATGAAAATTGTGAGACGAAAAGTGTTAACAATGTGGAAAATTGTAAAGAAACGGATTTTAATGAACTTCAAGCGTGCTGCAAAGTTTATTCTTAACCGTCAATAATTGTTCTGTATTTTTCTCAAATTTATCTGTGATAGTTGATGATAAATTGTGAATTATTTAAATTTATTGTTTAGTCTAAACACTCACTTTTGTGTACGGGGATGATCGCAAATTATGTCAATGAAAATTGAACTTTTTTGATGATTTTTTAATTTTGAGCAACTTTTCCAATTTGTCACAAAATATTAGCTGAATAATCTACATTAAACTTAAAGCTATATGGGCTCGGTCGAATAAAAAGTTCCATTGAATTTCGACGGTTTTTTTGAAATTCAATTTTTCTTACTTTCCCCTTCAATAAAATGAAAATTATTTTGCAAAATATCATTTAAATTAATATCAATGTTTTCTTTTGAGCATTGTAATGCATCCAATAAATTTTTCTTGATCTGTTCCTAATTTTTCAGCTTCCAAGTATGTGTAATTAATGAGCTTCAAACGATTTTTTTAATTCACATATTTTTTTGTGATGTAAACAAACGAATGAAATAATTCAAATTTTGACCGTTATGAAAAAACTGTTTCAGAAAAATCATTAATTTAACTAATTTAAACAAGCTTTTTGAAGATTTTAATAGCAAAGGATTAGAAAGAATTGAAAATCCTACAATTTAGTATAAGTTTTGTATCTTGTAATGAAGTTTTCGCAAAGTTATTAGTATTTTTTGTGAAAATTCAAAATAATGGAACTTTTTTTCAGTGTCAGAAATCGATAGTTTTTTGGATTTTCTGGGTTAATTAAAAGACTTTGTGATATGTTATGCACATGAAAATGCTCGTTTTCAAAACCTTTATAACACTACTTATTGAGATAATTACGGAGATATCCAGGAAAAGAGAAAAACGTTAACATTTTTTGATTTCTGACACTTATTTAACAAACGACCAAGCCCATATAGCTTTGAACCCTACTCGAGATCTGAAACGTTATAGATTTAAAAGTTCATTTACGAAGTTTCCTAATATTATTTTACTATATACTGCTATATACTATTAACTCTGTTTTGCTGTGTTGATCTGACCGTAAATCTCATTAATTTAATAAAATAAACAAGAATTTAGCAAAAATAAAATTTTTACACTCTGATGTTTGTTTAATGAGTAGCTACATAATTAAATCCGAAAGAAAATAATTTATTTTGCTAAAATTTCATTTAACCACCTGAAGTTATTTAATGAAAATTCTCTTTTGGCAGCGATGCAAAAATGTTCACACATTTCATTTTCTAACTGTTGAGTTTTTGTAGGAAGTTGTAGACGCAATATTCGGAAAATTGAATTTACCGGATCCGATGAAATATGTTAAACATTTGCATTTTGTTAAATCAGATGATGTAGATGCATCGCATGTGTTGCGGAATAGAAAATATCCGATTAATAATTGATTTATCAGTCATTTTTAGTGGCAATTTTTAGAAATGTGCAGTTTGGAGAAATTAAGTGTTAGCAACATCCCAGGACAACAGCATTACACAAAACTTCATTATCTAGGAATTTTAAATTGAAAATATTGAAAAAGCTTCGAAGCAATGTGTGCATGCTAGGGATTTCAATACCGGGATTAGAAAAGCTTCAATCCCGAGATTACGGGATCAAGATATCCTTAGACTTTCTCACAAATTTTGTTAATTTTAAAGTGTAAAATAATAAAAACCAGGAAGTTTTTACCAAATAATTTAGGAATTCTTTTTAACTTACAGTTTCTTTTTCAAAATTTTCTAAAGTGTTTAAAAAAGTGTAATCTTATGCCTATAGTAATTTCCAGAGATCGAAGCCGATTTTTTCGGCTTAACTCAATTTTTGATTTATTTGATCGAAAAAAGCCATTTGACACCCATTATAAGTATTTAAATTGAACTTTACATGCTTTACTATGATTCTGTGTAATATTTTGTCAGCATGTAGCTATAGTAAGCTCAGAATTTCAAGTTAAAGAATGTTAAGCCGAAATTTAAGCCGATCGGGCGGAAAAAAATTGAATATTTTTGAATTTTAAGTAGATTTTATGATCATTCGAGTACATCTCTAGTAAAGCTGCGATAAAATCTATTATTTGAATTAAATAATAGCTCGACAAAAAAAAAATCAAATTTTTACTGAAAATGCTAAATCATTTTTGAAATGAAAGGCTAAAAGATAATCTTTATAAAAATTAACACAAGCTTTCATTGTAAAGTTAAAAAGTTCAGACAAGAAATGGAAATATCGATTTATTTGGAAAAACTTTAAGTTTCTGGCTTAGTTTTCTAATTAAAAATTTTTTAAATGATAAATACACCTTAATTGTAATTGGGCCCCGACGAAAAAAAATTATTCGTGAGTGACACTTTAAATGTAAAATATCTCCGAAACCACAATAGTGACAAATTTCAAAGTTATTTTATCTTATAGGAAACAAAAATTTCTATCTTTTTACATACAACTCACTTCCTAAAGTTAAACAGTTTTGTCGGAAAATCACTTCAATTAAGCGTCACTCACGAATAATTTTTTGGAATTTCGCTATAACTTTGTCAGCTTTCATTGATATATCAAGGGGGGGGGGGGGGGGGACAGAGCAAAAATTGCTATGAAAAAAAACCCAAAAATGTTTGCTCTGATAAAATTTCCAAGTACTCTACTTTGTATTATAAATGAAATTTTCGCAATACTTCCTTCAGATGCAGTTTAGGACCGAAATTTTGATTGGAACTGATGAGAATCATGATTTAAGACCTTTTGACATTCAAAAATTTTTACTTTAAATTTGACTTTGTCAATTTCGTTTGTGGAGTACTTGGAAATGTCATCAGAGTAAACATTTTTGGGTTTTTTTTCATAGCAATTTTTGCTCTGTCACCCCCCCCCCCCCCCCCCCCTCTCCCTTGGATATATCTTCAAATGTATTTTTTTAGATCAGAAATTTTATTCTCTTGTCTTTAGCTTCAAAAAACTTTATAAATTGTCCTGGAAACATACTTAAATGAACATAATTAAGTTAAAAAATTTTAACGGCTTTAAATTTTTTGAATATTTTCTGTTGTAATTTGTTTGTTTACAAACAAAATTAGAAATGAAATTTGAAAAGTCACGAAAATATCACTCAATAATGATGAAAAGGCTCTTAAAAAAGTCAGAGAAGCTAATGTGTCTTTTACTTTTCGTATTCAAATCATAATATTTGAGATTAATGATTGAATAATTAAGAAATTTGAGAATTTAATTTTTTGATGTTTTGTAAGATAGTGATAGTGAATTTCAAATTTAATTTTTCCGTTGAGCAAAAATCTTAAAAACATCGTCGAGGCCCAATTGAAAGCTCTATTTTGAACGTGTTAAACGTGATTTTACACCAAATTCTGAACCGAATCTAAACCCGGGATCAACAATTTCCAATACCGTAATCCCGGGATTGAAATTTTGGTCCGTTATTGAAATCCTTAGTGCATGCGAACCAGAACGTTAACCGCAAAAAAAAATAAGAACTAAAAATTTTATTATTTTTTAGCGTGATAAGATTAATGTGAAAAGTATATGAGAGATGAAACTTTATTGCCTTTGATGCTGTTGCCTTTGATTTACTACAACTTTTTTTGCCAGATAAAATTTTTCATTATAAAAAACTCAAAGAGGAAAGCTGTTTCAGTTCATTATATTAATAATTAATTATTCGAGTGAAAGCAGTGCTATAAATAAAAAATATTTTGGACTTAAATATTGTCATTTAAGGGATGATGAAGAAGAATGGAAAATGATCGTGGGAATAATTCGTGATCTAATATTAAATAGATAAAAAGCAAACTATAAACTAGTAGAATATCTCATCTCATGGAGAACACATGTACTCCAAACTGTACAAACTTTTCAACCTTAAATTAAGAGATTTTCATTCAAAACTTGAAATAAGGATTAGTGCTCAAATGACGTCATAGTCGTCAGTACTCCTAAATACTGAACGAAAACAATTAATGATCACTATGCAGTCATGTTAGAAGGAGCTAAGCATACTAAACTAGTCATTTTTGTCATTACGAAACATATTAACGTCTCTCCAACAGAGTTAAAGCTACAGTAGAGTTGAATTTAACTTTTTACAGACTTTCTAAATGCTGACATGAATAAGGCAAATGCAATGATATTTGCATAGTCATGAACTACAAGCAAGCTGCAAAATGTGAAGAAAAACTTTATGAAATTCAGATTTTTGCTCATTTGCAAAAAACAGAGAAACTGAAAAGCGACAACATCAATGTCACATCAACTTTTCATCCTCATATATGTAGATTTAATTGAAAATGAAATGAAAAGGAAACAATTTTGCATAGGAACAGAAACAGAAGCTTAACATTTTACGCTTTGTTGAATGAAAAACTTTTCTTGTTTGCAAAAATTTTTGTTGAAGAAATTTTCTTAACGTGCAACAGCGTGTAAGCTTATTAAATTAACAAGGGAAAATTTGTAAATGACACTTGAGACATAACATATAACATACTAGATGTATATGATCATTGAAAGCTGAAATGGAAACTTATTGGAATACATTCAGACTTACCCAATGAGTTAAATTGACAAATGTAGTTTTAGAAAATGTTTGAAAGAATCTTGAAGATTATTTAATCTAATCTTTAATGGATTGAGCAAAATGATATTTCAAATTACTCAGAAACATGCTAAAATGATGTGACCTTGACCAAATAATTCAGTTCAATGTACTCATCACACCACTCCCAACTCAATCCCATATTAACCTCCAACTCCTCGTGTGACTCAATTTAAATCATTGAGACAATTTTTTTCACAATCAACTACATCTTCCAACACAGTCGATTTCATCATTTTTTCAATGACGTCACCAAAAAAAGAAGAAGAGGAAAAAAGTTTAAAGCAAAACAATGAAGAACATTTAAAGCTACACAACCAAACATCTGCCTGAAAGAAAATCAATACTTCATTATCAGCTTTTTATAAATGTTCGATATTTTATAATAATCGACACTTAATATTATTATAGAGTTGTTGTGATAAAAGCAACACAAACGTTTTTACCTCCATCCACAGCATCCCTCTCGAGTTGACATAAATTCAGTAATATTCAATTCATCATCTCCATGTGATGCATCAACATAAAATTGCTTGAATAAGATATATTTTCCAAAAGTTTTGACATAAATCTGACAACTGAATTGAGGAAATTCTTTTTATGTATTTAGCAAGTGCTGATAAAGTTAATGTTGAGCATCAATCTAGATTCTTGAACATGAAATGAGAAAAATTCATCAAATTAAATAAAAGAGAACTTAATTTTTTTTTTATTATTTCCAGTCCCTATTTTGACATTTCTTCAGCAATTAAAAATTTCCCTTCTCAATTAGCCTTTTTTCCCTTGAGTTTTTCTCAATTGCAATTAGCATGGCATCTCTTTTCGACAGCAGTTCATCACGTTCAACTAGATTTTTAACGAGAGCCTCATTTAGTGACTCGATGAATGTGTGAATTTCATTGATGACAATTTGAAGTTGAGTAATGTTCATGTTCACCAGCAATTTTCGCGACAGATGAGTTATGGGCTGTGGTTGCTCCTTTTTTACTTTTATTAATGTTCTGTTAATAAAAACTGCTAGCTCTGACACACCTTGATGATTTTTTTCTAGCTAAAAAATTTATAATTTTGTAAAATAAATCTACAAAATTCATTTGAAAGTTTAAACTCGTGCGACACAATAGAAAAGCTGCAGATACAGTTCCGTCAAATAGACTCCTTCAATTTAGTGTTAATTAAAGAATGGTATCGAAACTTTGACGGATCTATTTCACTGACTTTTCCATTTATGTTGCTCGAGCAAGCACCTCAAATTGACGTAAAGCCACATCCTTTGCATGTGCTAATCGATAATGTAAATTGGCATTTCGTATTAACCGATCTGTATAGCCCATCGTGAGTCTTCGACCAACATATCGCTGGGTATCGATTGATTTCTGCAATTAAAAAGAAATTTTCTTTAATTTATAGTTTGCGGCTACATTTCTACGGTTGAAATTAAAATTAAATTGAAGCTTTATTTTTTTACTATTTCAACTGTTAAATGAACATAAGTATTCGCTCAAACTCATATGAATGGCCTCGTTTGGCAACTGTGTAGTGGAACAAAAAGAAGAAATAATAAAATTTATACAAGATACGTCATTGTTGTGAAAAACAAAAGTAATTTTGCATGTTTATATTATTATTTATTAATCAATGCAACCAATTATTGGCAATAAAGCTTTAAAAGAGAAATTAGTTGAGTACGGAAGTTTTTTGAATTTTGTTGTGGTTATAGCGACTTTTTAAGAGATTAATGAGAAGATTTTGAGTGTTTTGAGATTGGTTTTTGAATAAAATTTTGAGCTTTAATTGTTCCTATTTCTAGTTCAGTTGTCTGACTATTTTTAAAGAATCTACTTCAGAGTTTAGTATGAAAATATGAGTACACTCGAGTGTGAGAATGAAGCTTGGTCTAGAATAACATGTTGGGAATCCTTTTAAGAATTTCGTAAAGCTAGACCTTGGTTTAAACATTAAAAATTAATTAGAGGTCATTCACCTTGGATGTCCCATAACCCCTCCACCTTAACTATGACGTCATTAGCAAATGATCCATAAGTGAGATAACTCTCTTAAATTCTTCATATTCCTCCAAACCCCACAAAAAAAATTACACAACAGCTTTTAATCATCAAATGCTACATTTCAATAAACTCAGAAAGGCAATAAAATAATGAATCCAAAAGAGGCAATTACCGACATGTTTATTAAGCAGTTCATTCAACTGAGAAAGTTTAAAATTCACTTTATCTACAATTTTTAACTCTAGTGGTCAGTAAAATGAATCCAATTAAAAAAGAATATATTTACAATATTAAGACAACAAATTGCCAGATAGCCATAATTAAACATGCCACACGTTAGAGCATATCTAACAAAACCGCATATTGAACTGTTCCAATATTATTCGATTAAACGCCTTTTTCAATATTTTGCAATAAATATGAAGGCAGAAGCTCAAGATAAAAAAGGAGATGGATTGTAAAGGGTGTGATTGACTAGAGGCGCATTTTGTTAAATGATCAGTTGAAAAATTTTAGTATTACACTTTTGGAGATGATTCTAATTCCGAGATATCTAATAAATTAGTCTAGAGAAAGCTAAAACAAAGTGCAAAAATGTCATTAGTCCCACCTTCATCTATTCATTCCCTGATCTCTTTTTATAAAGATTTAAATTAAATGATCAACTCCTAAACTTTATCATTCCTTGATTTTTTTGGGTACCTATTAAATACACTCAGCTGTATCTTGATCATCGATTACAAAATGTGGCAACCGATAACTTCAACAATCCTTATTCATTGAAATAACAATCCACTCGTCAATGATTTTATTGTAATTTTTATCATACTCACATCGTCAGTAATATCCGTGCGAAAATAGAGTGATGAGATTAGCTCGACAGTATCAAGTGACTCATGATTGTCATATGTCAAAGTATATAGATCATTTACATAACGAGAATCTTTCTTGTAATGCCGTCTTATCGATTTTAAACTAGATATTGAATCCATTTTGTTATCAATGTACATGACTAGAACTGATGCTTATATTGAACTCTAAACTATAGAATAAAATTTCCAATAAAATCACAGATTCTTTTGACAACTGCACTATGTCTTCTCAAAAATTATATTTTATGCTGCACTTTTATGATACTGTAAAATTTGCAATTGCAGACAAATTGAGAAGCTTGTTGAAACTAGCATGTGGTTTACGAAACTAATCCGAGCGACTGATTTTTCAGCAACTATGCTTTTTGCGGTAGGAAAAAAAAGTTCGTGAGCAGAAACTACCAAAAAATATGAGAAAAAAAAAATTGAGAGAGAAAATATGGACAAAAAAAAAGCAACAAACAGAAGCAAACACAACGAAATGTGGATGAACAAAAAAAAATTAATTTCGATGTAAAAAAAAATCATAGAGCACAAAATTTTGTGAGGTGAGTTACCACAAGTGCTCTACAAATAAAATACATTTAAGTACTTCTCATGTGTAAATGTGGCAACATTTATTTTTTGCAGCTCTCTTTTGTTTTAGTTACGTATGAAAATCCATACATGTGTGCCGCTTACTCTATAGTTTTTTTTAATTACTTTTATGGAAAGAAAAGCTTGAGCGGTGCTAAAAGCAAAAAATTAAAAGTTTATTCGTCTTTAGGCTGGTTAAACTAATTAATGAATGAGAGATAAATAACCCCGAGTGAGTAAGCACGCGAAAAAAGAAGAAAATATAAATAAATAAAATGTGAAATAAATAAAGTATGAAAAAATTGTGTTTTTCTTTTCTTTTGCCGGCAGTTGTTATGAATTGCGGAACTAAAAAGCTTTTTTTCTGATTGTTTTTTAGTGGCTGTGTTAATTTTAATTACCAAATATTTTGTGGGATGATTTTCATCTATGAATTTTTTAAGCTTGTCTATTATCGAATTTATTACACCGAATGACAGCCTTATGATTGCTGACTAAATGATCCAACAGCTAGAAAGCTGCTATATTATTTCAGGAATGGGTTTAAACTTTAAACACAAAAAACGCTTGTTCTAAGAAGATTTTGACTTCCGAATACTCTATTTTACTTAACTAAGATTCAGTACCACAATCATGTCAAACTTAAGCAGTCAATAATATTTTTCAGTAACCTTGACACACGAAACTCCTGTTTTGAAAACAACACTAATTTCAAATTACAATTTTAAAATCATGACCCTTCATACTAAAAGCAGATGTGTCTTGCCGATAAAATCTTACTTGCCCTTGCATTTAATACAAAACTACCGTACTTAACTGGTCAAGCATGTCTACCCGTAGTGGGAAGATTCTTCCATAATCATGATGACTAGCAAACTAGACTTTTTTCGATATAAAAACAATGAAGCAACTGACTTTTAACCTTCTTCTACAAAAGTTTCCCAATTATTTGTTTTTATGCTCTACATTTGCCAATCTTTTATGATTCATTAAAAACACTTGTTTGTACCATTGAAGGTTGTTCGAGCAATTTAATTTCTTTTCAATTCAATTTATTATTATTTTTTTGTTCTTTTTAATTTAACCTTAATTTTTTTATTATATTATTTTCTAATTCAACGTACTAATTGGATGTAAAATTGATTGCAAAAAATCTAGAAAGTGAAATTGGGCACAGAATAATACAATGAAATCAAATCAAATCATATCACAGTCGAATAAAATCATCAAAATTGCTTTTGTTAAATAGAAAAGAAGCAGACATCAAAGATGTAATTATAGGGGATTTAGATACAGAGTTGGAGGGACTGTTGAAGATGCAATCGAGAGACAGTTTTTAAATTTGCATTAATATAAACTATAGACACCTTAGTGATTATAATTGGCGCTAAATAGTTTCGAAAATGATGTCTTGGATCAAAGTCTTAATCTGTATATTGATGAAAACTGATGCGGCTGTTGTAAATCTTATTTTTTCGATCATTTTTTAGTGGGCAATTCCACGAGTAAAGGGAACTGAGAAAAAGCAAGTTGTAATATTTTTCTACTTGTAGTAATTTGAATTTTTTTTTACCGTTACAAATTTTCAAAAGATTCAAACTAATTTTCATTGCCTTGATTATTATTACGATTATTACACAAAATTATGATGTTAACATGAAAAAAAAACACATTGAATTCAGTTTTAACCCAATAAAATGTTATTTTTCGAAGAGAAATTATTCTTAGCAATAAATAAATTTAACGGAAATTCAAAATTCAAATTTTCTGTTTTTTGTTGGTTTTGGATAAAGCGCTGAAAACTTAACCGATTAACGCAGTATCTTTTAATTTTCTCTGTGAATAAAGCATTTAAGAACAAAAAAAGTGTACAAATAAGTAGAAAAAGTGAATATCTATGGCTTAAAAATATACTTGAGCACAAAAAATGGATGTTTGAAGACTTTTTTAAGGATATAAGAAGAGAAATTTTCGTAAACTTAACCGATTAACGATGAAAAAACTGAATTATTTCAGTAAATAGACCTTTAAAAGTTTAATTACCTATTTTAAAATGAATATCTTGAGTTATTACTAATTATAAATTTTTAAAAGAACGGAAAAAGGTGTTATTTTAAGAGTATTTTGATCAAAAAGAATTTTACTTGCATTTTTTCACTCATGGAATTGCCCTAGTGCATTTTTGTATACCCTGTTTTTTCGTTATAAGCTAGTAGCTTAGAAGAATAAAAAAGTGATTTTTTTGGCTCACTAGTAGCTTAGTAACGAGTAGTAGCTTAGTGAAGAAATTGAACTTAAATGAAAATTTTGAGTTTTTTAACTTAATTAAAGAAATTTTGCTATCTTCTCGATTTTATTTCATTGACAATGTCATAAGGCATTGAAACTGATACTTAGAAAGTTGAAAAAGATTAATTATACTTTATTTTTGGTAGTAGCTTAGTAAAGATTACAAAAAAATTTCAAGTTCAAAAAACTTTACTAAGCTAGTAGCTTAATAACGAGTAGTAGCTAATAACGAAAAAACAGGGTACTTGTATACAAAAAGGGAGCTTAATAATGCACTTTGTTCGTTCGTTCATCTGAAGAAAAACTTTTTAACCAGACATCGTAGAGAGCTCAGGTTTGTTTTATTAGCTCCGTTACTATTGTTAATTGTCCGATCGAACAGTTAAAAGTCTTGAAACAGTGTATTTATACTATAATAATTGATTTTTTTATCTCATAAACAAAACCACGTGATGAGTACGTTTGAAAAATTCAACATCACCTCTATAATTTCAAATTTTTTTCTAGCCGTTGTAAAATTTGAATTTCAAAAAACCGTTAAATAATAAACTTTTTCTGTATGGAAATTCATTTCATTAAATTATTAATTATACTATAATTGATGTTTTTGTAGTGCAACTTTTAGCGGAAAAATTTCAAATTATTCATTGACCCTTAAATAAAAAAGCCTTTCTATATAAGCACTCATTATAATTATTTGTTAATTACACTCAAATGAATGATCTTCTAATATTCTAATGATATTGTAAACGAACGGAAAATAATTAGATAATCAAATACTGATCGCTGCGTCAAAAATACGCTGAAGTCCCTCGATCAATAACACGAGGACTTCTGTAATTTTTTTTAAACAGACATCATTACGTTCTTGTATACATGAAATATGCTATTCACCATTAATTACTTAATTAATCTCAAATCTTAAATTTATATCTTAGAAGTTCTTAGAATATTCAAGAAGTTAGTCTAAAGCGTCAAGTTTGAAACTTTTAAATGTATATTACAACTCTGCCTTAATTTCATCAATCACATCAATTCCATAAAACATTCAATTATAGCAATAAAAAGTTGAACCATTCTATTGTTGATTGTCTTTTTCAAAAATTATTAATGTATAGATTACTTAGTACTCAGTCAATTAAACTATCAAAAAAACGAGCTAGTTTGTAGCTGTAATTAGCACATCAATTATCAAACTGAGAAGATTACAGGTTTGTTAAAAATTCACGTTTTATTTATATCCAAGTTATTATTGTCTGTGTCGATCGCTTAATAGTCAAAATGATAAAAACAAACTACCAGAACTAATTTCGAAAGTTTTTGTCGAGTTTTAATAATAGAATTCAATTTTTATACTAGATTGAATTTTATTTGACTGACAAGAATTTAAAATCTTATTCAAAAACGCTTCGAAGCATCTTTCACAACTTCAAAGAAGCACCCACAAGAACTTATAATTTATTCAATTAAATCAGATTGTAGGCGAAAATTACAAAACAGTTGGATTGTTTTAGCAAGTAAAATTTCAACATGAATAAACTTATTTTATGAATACATTGAACTTGCCAACACACCAAAAAACAGTTTTATAGCAAATTATCTATCGTATCTTTTAGAATTTAAATTCTGATGGAAGAAGAATTTTTACGCAAAATATTTTCGGAATGAAATAATTTACGAGAGATTAGATCTTGATTAGATGAACGCTTATGAAATTTTTAAATATGCTGTTGTTCTCAGAAGATGTGTTTTTTTGGGTAGACTGGATGGGATTTCATCTTCATTTCTGAAGATTACTTTCTCAGATCCTAGAAGGTTCTAATGGACAAACGGGTAAACAAGAGATTTGTAAGCTTTGAATTAAAATAGACATTAGAGGAGTCCTTTAAACGTGCTCTTAAGAAATTTAACTTCAATAGTGTACTACCCATCCCACCCATCAACATTTAGCTGCTGCAATATGCTATAACTATCATCCAATCCATTCTACAAACATCCTTCCTCATTCATAAACTATCTGTAATACACTAATGACAAAAGCTAGACGTCTTCAACAATCCGAATAGACAATTTTTTATGTACATTAAAATGCTACAGCAGCAAACAATTTAAAATAGCGTGACAATGTTTTATATCTTTTCAATGACATACTAGAATTGTCTAGTATATATCGTATGTGCAAGCTTTCTCATAAATGCTGTTAAAAAGCAATGCTTAAAACCTTGAAGTCACTTTTTTTGTTAAAGAATATTACAATTTTGTTAAAGTTTTTTACCTTATTGTGTTGTTACAGCACTCAGAGGAATAAGTTTATTGTTAATTTTGTGGACGTGTCATGACCATATTGCTACTGGATCTGGAGAAGTTTTTGTTATGTTTGAGAATTTTTGTTTATTTCAAGTTTTTAAACTTTTGTGGGAATTATTGTTTTTAGAAAATCCTTAAATTTGTGTTTAAAACACATTCTAAAGATTCATGCTTATTCAATACTTAATCAACAAATTAATTATTAACTTGGTAATAAATGAAAGTTGCAAAAAAATAACTGTATAAAGATTAAATAACCTAATGTACATCCCAAAAGAGATTCAACAAGTTACGAAATTTCTTTATTTTTATTTCATAATAAAGTGAATGTGATATATCACACTTGAAAGATTTTTGTTTCCGACTGAAGAGAAAAATAATGATAAATTTTATCTCGGCATGTTTTAAGCGGGTTTTTGTGATAAAATGGTTGTTTTTCGGGAAAGTCAATATGATTTGAACGTTTTAAAGCTTTGATTCTTGTAAAACTTAAAATTTTGGGAAGAAACGTTATAGACGGGTTGCAAAGCCAGCTCAAATATTACACACCCGAATGGCACAAGCCGGTATGACTCTGGCATGGTGCTAGATTGAAATCAAAGCCAGAGTCATGTCAGCTTAATGTCAGATTTCTATTCGAATATCCGACTTGTGCTACTCGGGATACTTTTACATTTTTGGTTAATTTTAGTCTAATTAAGTATAACAAGCTAGAGGCTCGTTTGCTAAGAGGCCGTTTACTTATTATGCAAACAAATAGATTTTTATCCCCTCTTCCTTCTTTCTCAAGAAGGTCTTTAATAAGGAAACTTGTTATTTCCAATACAAAACTAAGAATTGAACCATTTAAAAATAAAGACAAAACTTCAGAATTTTGACATTTTCACAAAAAAATTACAGAAGTCCTCGTGT